ATCTTCAAAGATAAAGCTTTAGCTTCCTTGCCCCTTATAATGATAGCGATAACATTAACATTTATTATCCTGTCTTCTTCTAAGAATAATATAATAAGGTAAGACAAAGAAGTAAAAGAATCTCTCTAAAGACTCAGGGAAGTCATTTACTGCATCACAATCTACAAGCCCCAGAGCCTATGATGGAAAAACATGAATGAATATTATCAAACCTTTTATTACAATATCAGTGAAACATTATATTAAATAACTAAAACAAGACAGAAATAGAGAACTGTGGTCCTACCAACTCAGAATGTGTAACTTGGGGGATGGATAAGTCTTAGCCAACTAAGTTATTCTCTTCCCTCAAGCCAAAAGAAACCAAAGGGGAGAATAAAAATAAATTAGGCCAGAAAGGACTCTGTGAATGTCCATAATTTTCCAAGTATCAATAAAAAGAAAAGCTTCGTGGAATTGCACAAAGTAAGGCAGTTGAATAGACTGCACACACCACCTGTACTGGAAGTGCCCATTGAGATCCTGTGGGGAAGCTTCTGACTACCTAGAAGCCAAGGAAAGCCATACACTAGGATCCCACCACATACTCCAGTCTGGAACCCTAAATTATCCATTAGGTCACCCCATCCACCCAAGTAGTCAGGGTTGAAAGAGGAGAAATATGATCCACTCCAAAAGGAACTTTTGAACTGGTTATATCACAGGCTTCTCCGTTAACAAATTCTGTCTGCTTAGACCCCTCTCATCCTTGTTGCTAAAGTGTTGTCCTCCTGGCCTACCTCCTACCCCTGTCACTGGAAGCTATCCCCCTAAATGCACCCTTCTTCACTATTACCCCCTATTATGGGTTGAATTGTTTACCAAAACGATACGTTGAAATCCTAATCCCAGTACCTCAGAAGGTGAACTTTTTTGGAAATAGGGTCACTGCAAATGTAATTAGTTAAGATTAGGTCATACTAGAGGAGGGGGTCCTTCAGTCCAATATAACTACATCCTTGTAAGAAGAGAAGACACAGAGACAGACACAGGAAGGGAGAAGATGATCGTGTGACGACGGAGGCAGAGATTGCAGTGATGCATCTACAAACCAAGAATTGCCAGCAAACAAAAGAAGCTACGAGAGGCAAGGAAGGGTTCTCTCCTACAGGTTTCAGAAGAAGCATGTCCCTGCTGACACCTCGATTTCAGATTTCCAGCCTCCAGAACTGTGACACAATCAATTTCTACTTTTTAAGCTACCCAATTTGTGGCACTTTGCTGTGGAAGCCCGAGGAAACTAAAACACCCCCTCTCAAGAACACTACTTGATTCTCTGCCACTATACCACACACGGTCAGCTATGCCCTCTGGCAAAAGTTCCTGGTCTCTTATGAAAAATTGCTCAACATCCTTGAATTTTTCCTGAAGAACTCCTACCAACTTCCATAGTGGAAAGCTCCTTCAGAGGAGACTCTCATGATCACAAACCCATCACACGAGAACACTCTGCCTTATTCTCAGCTTCCCATTGCTGCATCTAGGCCGTTATTCCCACACCTTTATATTAGAGCTTTTGTGCTGAGTCTACCCTCAACCCCCTTTGCTTTATGTGTTTTACCTTGACAACTACCTTTCCCTCCTCAAATATCAATTTTATGAGAATGAGCTTCCGATCTACATCTCAGTTCATGCTGGCTCTAGACCAATGTTCCTTGCTGCTCTTTTCCACAAAGATCTGTACTGGTACCTAAAGTTTAGTCTGTTCGTGACCACAGTCATGCTTCCCACCCCAAACCAACCTTCCCATTCTACTCTCCCTTTTCTGTTTATGGTACTTGCCTTCTCCCAGTTGGTCAGGTATGGAATTTCGAATTCAACTTTAATTCTTTTCTTATCCTCAAGCTCTGTATCCAACTGAATTCCATAGACTCCACCTCACAAATGTCTCTCAAGTCTGTCTTCTCTTCCATTTCTATTACCACTGCCCTTTATAATGCCAAGACTGATACTGCAAAGTCCTCTCAACTGGTCTCTCCATCTTCCACTTCTCATTAGTACAATCTTAAATACACATCCAGATAGATCCCTCTCTCCTCAGCACTTTCCTCCATTGTCTAGAATATTAAAGATAAAACAGACACCCTATGATTTCAAACTCTCAATTGTATCTGTGTAAAACCTTCCAATTTTATCTCCCGTACCTTACTATGCTCCAGTCAAATTGTGCCATTTGCTGATCCCAAATACATGTTTTTGCCTTCTCCAATAAAAATCCCACAGTTAAGAGATGTCTTGTGCTCACCCTACAGCAGATAGGACATCAAGGCGCTAGTTGTCTTTATTTTATCAAGTATCTCCTATCCCTCTGTCCTTCAGAAGAATCCCAACTAGAGAAGAGCCATCACCAAGATCTGTTCATGAACATCATTTCTTCACAAACTCCATTCTCCCAGATTCACAAAAAAAAAAACACTTCGCCAAGTCTCAGTTTGTTGAAATGAAAAACATTCTAATCAAATTGTACAAGCAATACATCACTAAACAGATTTTCATTTCACTATCATTTCATTATGATCTGTCTGAATTAATCAAAAATAAGCCAAAGGAAGCCTCAATTTATACTGAAATTTCTTAGCAATTTGTGTTGCTAAAGAGAGAAATTCAAAACAGAGTATGCAAAAGTTTATTAGAAGTGGGAAAATATATAATTTTGTTAAGAGGTAGACACTCCAAAAAATTAATTTATGTATCTCCTCATTCAAGCTGCTCATGTTTTAAAAAAACACACTACTAACATGGTGACAGAGATGTCCTCAATGTTGCACTAGGAGCTGCAAATGTTACAGAACTAATGAATTTTCATTAGAGTCATCAGATAATTTCAGAATGGGTTAAGTTGCTACCACTGCCATTCTCATTAATATCGTTGTCATGTAAAAGGTTTAATTTTCAGCTATTTTTGTTCTGGATAAAATCTTTGTCATTAAAATGAGGGATGATTCTGATATTTAATATATTCCATGGCATACTCTAGTGTGGTACTAATTTGGCCTTTTCAGTATTCTGCATCTTAATTGACAGTCCATCCTCCTCCATTTCCCAGACAAGAGAGAACTGAACTAGAATGGACAGCCAATCAAGCCACAGAATACTGAAAGGATCAACAAAGAAGAAACATGTTGCTCTAATCAGGAGCATACACAAGGCACTAAAATTATTTTCTCCCCTACTAATGACGAAGATAGAAACAGGAATAATGAATGGCACCATCTGAATCCTTTCATGTGACAGTACTAGCAAAGTATAGCAATGCTCCCTAAAAAGTCGAAACTAAGTATTTCTCATTTTAGTCAAAAGAGTAAAACTGTGCTCTCACTTAGCTTTTAAAGCAATGCATTTTATCAGAGTCTGCAACAATTGGCAAATTAAATCCTGTATTGGGTTTTTCATAGTAATCTGTTTCATGCACACAAAATGTGTCCTGGTGTTGAAGAATATCCAGGAACACTGCAGAAAACTTATTTCAGTACATACTCTATTAGCTTTCTTCTCTTGTTGAATTATCACTCTGGTAAGAACTAACATCAGCTACTTAAATAATATATTAACCCTGCTTCCAGAAGCTATTGTTTTCATTGGAGTAGGCATTTCCTCTAAGGAAAAACTTGGGATTTTTATCCAAGGATAATATAATTTGTCATAATTTAAAGTTCAGTTGAATGTCTTAGATCATTTTTATAGCATTAGTGAAACAATTTAAAATTCCAAAGAGCAAAGATTATATCATCTTGGACATTTAGAGCAGGTGTGAATAATTGTCCGATTAAATCAATTAACCAACTCTGTCCAACAAGATCGGCCTTTTCTACATTTTCTGCAACAGCATAAAAGTAGAACAAAAATTAAATATACTAAATATTGTGTAATAAACTTCCATGACCTGTTACATACAGAACAGATCTCAAGCACCTGCAAGTCTTTTGAATAAAAATATTATTTCAATAACTTTATACTTTTCATCCTTTATAATTAAGGTTAAGCCCATGTCACTTCCATGATCTTTTCCTGAGTTGAAGCCTCCAAGAAAGACAATAAATTTATCAACATAATTTCTTCCTGCAAGTTCAAAATCACTGAAAAACACCTAATGGACACTTTAATCTTTTCATAAAATATTGTTGTTATTCTTATTAAAAAAATTCACTCATTCTTAATAAGAAAAATAGTATGTCAGTAACAATAATGTCTCCTTTCACCCCCAAAGATATTGTTGTCTAATCAGCAATAAGATGTGTGCTGTAAGTTGTGTTTTCTTTTGTTCTGCTTTTTCTCCCCCTCCCCCAAGTAGTGGGATGGATTTACAACCTCATAGGTAAACATACACATTGGTGAAATGCCTACAGAGATTTACGTAAGCATCTTGAAAAAAGCCCAGGATGGAGCTTATCAGTAATTTGCTCTAATCAACTTTTTACATCTTGCCCTTCATCCCACTGTAAGCTTCAGAGGTTTAGGTAAGAATAAAAATGAAAAAAGTCAAATATGACAATAAGAATATTGCTTCAGTATAGCCTTGGGAGCTACTTCAGCATTGTTTTAAGATGATTACTAGTCTTAATCCCTCTAGTGCTGGATGTTAAATTCCACTGACTTTTTTTAAATTTAATGACTTGCTAATGTAAACTTCCATCTAGAACAATCAAACAGTATGTCATTTATTCAAATTTACAGTGACTCTAATGTGCCAGCCAACTCCCTCGTCAAAACAGACAACTTTAAAAACGTTTGCCTGAGTCAGGAGTTCTATTTCCTAAATTAGCACCAAAGTGTCACCTTGATAGACCTATGAACAACAAAATCATTTATAATAAACTCAGCTTCCCTCTAGAGTGGACATCCTAGGTCATGCATCTGTAGGAGTTTTAATTATTCCATACAGATCAGAGAGCACTTGAAGATGCTCAGACTTCGGCAACCTGTCACCTCTAAATACAATCATCTGAAAAATATATTCTTACCAATCTCCCTCGAGATCTGGGTGAAGGCCTCCACACCACTCTCTCCATAGTTCCCCTCAGAAGCCAATGTTGACACATAATTCCATCCCAGTGCCGTCACAATGTCCACCATAGCTTGCGCTTGGTAGGAGTCAGGTGGGACCACACGAGAGAAAAAGTCATACCTGGTGTTATCACTTAGCTCTGGGGCTGTGGATGCATAGCTGATTTGAGGTATCTGCAAAACAAATGACAGGTCAGTTCAGCCCATGAGGAATCTTAAAGAACAATGGATTGTCACAACACTGAACAGTGAAAACTATGCCAGAAACTTAAGACATATCAGCCTGAAGCCAAAATATAGTTTTGAGCTGGCCAGTTAGCTCAGTTGGTTAGAGCACAGCCTTATAACACTGAGGTCATGTGTTTGGATCCACATACTGGCCAGCCACAAAAAAAAAGAAAAAGAAAAAAATAAACACAAAATATAGTTTTAAGACTACAATTTAATTAGAAAGTATTTTATAATGGTCGGTGGGCTCACTTTCTTTCAGTGCACAATATTACTAAACAGCAAGAAAGAATTTAGTTTTGCTTCAGTTTTCATTGTTTCTGAAGCCTAAGCAAACCATTTGTGCTTTTTGTTGTGGTTGCTTTTTTACTCTGTACATGATAAGTTCTGGTGCAGAAATGAGAAATATGTAAAGCCGTAATACAAACAAGCATCAGAAAAGGTCACCTCTGAAATTGCCATTGGCTTTAGGACATAAAGGCTGTACAATGACTAATAGGAAATTTAATAGGAGATTTTTTTGACACTTGATACTATCAGCCTTAAAAATTGCATTTTTGGTAAGTTGTTTTAAATATATAAATTTTCAAGTCTATTCACTGCTTATTGATATATTCATTGAGTACCATAAAAAGATTTGGGAGTAGCCAACTACATATCTTCTAATAAAAACACCTTTTCAACCCCCCATAAATCTCAAGAAAAGGAATCCAGACCAGAAATTCTTTAGAAAAAGAGACTATTTTCTGACATAACCAGGGTAAACCACTATAAGACTTTTAAAACTAGGAATCTTGTGTCATTTCTCAATAATGTGGAGGGTGAGCTATGCAGCCGTGCATCCTGTCACTTCTCAGCTGCCATGCTGCAGTGTGGGTGCAAGTTCAGAGGTCAAAATGACTCCAAGATGCCCTAATTCAGCTCGTATGTGTGAAGATGCAGGCTTGAATCATACATAAAAAATTAACTTTGCTCCACATCAAATCCTGAAGCTAGTGTCAGTGCTCAAAGAGAATGTCAGAGAGGTTGCAGTTCAATCTTCCTGCACAGGGCTGCACACCCTGGGATCAAACGGTCACCCACCACCCTCTGGCCAGATGACTCCCAATCCACCTGGAAGTTTGACTTTACTCTTGACTTCTTTAAAAGCCCTCAACATCTGAATAAACTCTCTAAGTATGGAAGTCTGACTGCATATTGGTGGCCAAGCAAAATGACCCTGAACTTCCCAAGATACAAAAGCAGAGCAATGTGCTTGGAGCTCTCCAGGGTGCTACAGGATCCACTCAGCTTCTGTGTAACCTGTACCTACCAGATTGGTTATGACAATGATTACTCAGTCTAGCCTATTTAACCCCCAGTTTTTCCTGGTTATGTTCTCCTAGTGAAGACCATGTTAACTCACTTATTAACACTATGGGACCATGAAAACCATCTGATCTGCCTCTTCCTGCCCTTTGCTTTATCTGTCAGATACACCGGCTTTATCTTGACAGATTGTTCCATTGACTAGGCTTTTATGCCTTTGTACTGCAAGACTACTCAGCAAGGACACCCCTCCCAATCTCAAGCCACACACCAATCTGTGGCCTTTTTCACCTTTTCTGTTTGCTTCTGGAAGACCTGGGAAAGAGAGCACAAATGATTCAGTAAGAGCTACCCCTTACTGGGGAGAAGTTTCCCAAAGATCAAAAGCATGTGCATTTCTATGTTCTAATGAAAGAGATTCGGCATTATGACTTTCACTTTGGAAGGAATTCTGTGTACGTGTGAGTGTGGTGTTGTGGGGGGGTTGGGAAGCATTCTGCAGCAAGTTCTACAGTGCTATACCATTTCCTTGTCCTATTTGGATACGTAATCCTCCCATTTCCTCAGCTACTCAGAGTCCAGCAGTAAAATGCCTTACACAACCCCCACCCTGACTATAATAATGAGCCACCTCTTTCTAAAAATGAGCACAAAGTGTGAAAATTGAGTGTTTGAAACCAAAACTAATTATCTCAAATTACTATCTTCAGTCAGTCACTTCCAGGGCTGTTTAATTAGCAGTCAGCATCATGTTTAGGATTAATTAAACAGGTGTAAAGGGTGCATAAAATAAAAGTGGAGATAGAAGACGGTCATTTGATTAATTTGGTAATAGACTTTCTCCCCAAAGTCTTGAAGCGTTTTCTCTTTGCAGACCAATGTGCAGAAAAGTAATGTGAGTGTATGTGCTTGAATTTTCTTTTTTTTTTTTTGCTATGTTGCACTCTACAATAATACACATCAGGGTACTGAGAGTATTTCAAGATAACATTTCAAGTTGTCATGAAGTCGCATCTTGTTTTTATTTATTGCCGTAGACAACTAAGCATTGCCTCATTAAACATTTTAATTTTTGTGCTCACATCTCCAATATTTCTACTATCCTCAAATTAAACCCCTACTGGCAACTGAAGTAGAAATTTTTTTAAGATCTGGAATGTTTCTTTTTCTTTTCCTTGCTGCAAATCCCCCTAACTATCCTCTTAATCATGGAGGTTTCATCTTCCAGAAACAAGAACAAAAAAACAAGATGTTGGGGGAGGGAGAGAAGTGGAAAGGGAAATGAGAGGAAAAAAGAGAACATGCCAAGAAAAGAAGGTTTTAGAAAAAGCATCCTGCATCCGTTCCCTCGTCCTTTTTATATCACCCATCTTTTTAAAGAAATATTGTCCTTAATAAGCCTCTGTTAGCTCCTACTTGCCAACTTAAAGTATGAAATTCAAACTCTTCAATCTGGCTCACAAAGACCATCAGACTCTGTCCCATTCTCTCTCCTCCCTGCCTCACATCTTCTCTCCATACTCCACCCTTGCTTGTGCTGTTCCCTGTGTAGGGACACTTTTTGCTCTCCTCCACCTGGGCATCTTCTACGCAAGTCCCATATCCAGCTCAAAAGCCACTCCCCCCGGGAAGCTTTCACCCACTCTCCCAGAGTTGTCTTTTGCTGTTCCTTCCTCCTACAGCCCCCATCATTCGACATCAGAATCAGCACTGATGGATTATAATCCTCTCAAGACCAAACAAAGTTGCTTTCACCCACTCTCCCAGAGTTGTCTTTTGCTGTTCCTTCCTCCTACAGCCCCCATCATTTGACATCAGAATCAGCACTGATGGATTATAATCCTCTCAAGACCAAACAAAGTTTCTGCTTCTTTATTTGGTATGCCCGACACCTGACAGAGCAAATGCTCAACGAAGGTTTGGAGGTAATTGATTAATCCAACTGTAGCAGGAAATTTAATACAGCCTCCTCCCCATTGTCTCTTCCCCCACCTTCCGCCACAATATGGTGCAGGCTCTTCTCTGTTTGCCCCTCTCAACCCTTCTCCATCCTGCTGTATGTCCTGGGAGGCTGCTCTCTATGACCACACCACCTGGGCTCTCTTGCCTGTGGCTTGCATTAGAGTTTGGCCAGTGGGAGGCACCAGCCGGACATGGGAGGGCAGGACAAGGCAAATGTCAGAGCACTTATTCCCCCAGCTGCTTCCCCCACTGATGTGATGTTTCTCTCTCTGAGCCCTCACCCATAGCTAAAGCTCTTGCCAGAGTCTAGCGGCCACCTTCTACCCTCAGAACTGTCCACTGTTGCCAGTCCCTGAGAACTTGTCATACCATGTTGGTTCCTTTGTGCCCACATCTTACATATAGTCCTTTCATCTCTCTTCCACTACCCCTTGAGTGTGCCAGAAGGCTGACTAACCACCCACTGTGACAGGTCCCTGTAGAAGGGACAATCACTGCTGTGTTCCCCACCCTCAGCCTGCCCTAACCTCTCAGCCCTTCTCCATCCACTTCCCCTTCCAGCCTCCCCTGCCACTGTCCTTAATGACTTTTTCCTTTCCTTTCTCTTTCAGTCCCTCAAGGCATCAAACTGCATATTTGAAAACACCTGTCATTTTGCTTTTCTTCATTTCTTATTTTCTTTGTGCTGAAGTTTCATAAGACGTGATATAGGAGAAAGAGACACTGTTTTGGCCTCATGTCCAAGCTAAATTTTCTCTAATACAGTTCTTGACAGACAACAGTGTGTTTGGGGAGTTGTTTGGTCCTTTGCCCAGCTGTTAATAAAGCTAATTACTTAATCTACAGTTAACTATCTGTTCTGTGAATCTTGGACACGTTAACTCTAAGAGATCCCCAAAATTTGACTTGGAGCTCAAGGAGGCTAAAATTCTATTTCAAAAGAAATTCATGTATATGTAGATACACATATATTTTAATAGAAGTTAGCAGAGAGTATCGTCCTCTAGTGTCGGTTCTCCACTTATTGTAGATTGAAACATGGAACCTCTAAGTTTTACCTAACACTTGACCACTTGCAATGGTGAGTGTAACTTCTGGAAAGTGTCCTTAAAGGGAGAGAGCATGCCTTTCTCATGCCCCTCCCTCTTTCCTGCTGGCCAGATTTGGACATGACGCCTAGAGTTCCCTTGGCCTTCTCAGGCCATGCCCTAGCAATGGTGAGGCAAAAAGCCACACCCTAGCCCAAACCATTGTGACATCTGGATTCCTAAGATCACCTGACTGTTCTTCCTTCTTCCATTCTTACCCTTTTCAAATCCATGCTACACCAGCAGCCAAACTGATTTTTTTTAAATTAGATCTTATAAAAATCTTACTTGAAGCCCTTTCATCATCTCCCCATTGATATTAGAATAAAGTCCAAACCTCTTGTCACAGGGTCCTATGACTCGCATCTGACCACCTTTCCCCCTGCTCACCTGATCCAACCACACAAGTTTTCTTTTTGTTCTCTGACAAGACCAAGCCCTTTTTCTCACCTGAAATTCATGCGTATCACTGTATACACATTCCCAAGTCTTCCCTGGTTTTTCTCATCTTTCAGCCTCAATTCAAATGTGTTGTCCTCAAACAGACCTTTTCTGACCGCCCCATCTAACATGGTCTTCCCTCCTCCT